GCACAAATTTTTGTGCACCGGGCCTCTAGTCCTATATAATAAAAGGGTAATATGCAAATTGACCCTAACAGCAGAATGACTGGGAATGACTGGTCACTATAACACACACTGACCACCAGGGGGCAGATGCTCAATGCAGGAGCTGCCCCCTGGTGGTCAGCGTGCTCCCCAAGGGGGATCTCTACTCAGCCACAAGCCAGGCTGATGGCTGCCAGTAGAGCGGTGGTGGTGGGAGCCTCTCCCGCCTCCTCAGCAGTGCTAAGGATGTCCGACTGCAGCTTAGGCCTGCTCCCCGCTGGCAAGTGGACATCCCCCGAGGGCTCCTGGGCTGCCAGAGGGATGTCAGACTGCCAGTTTAGGCCCGATCCCCTGGGGAGCGGGCCTAAGCCAGTAGGTGGACATTGCCCGAGGGGTCCCAGACTGTGAGAGGGCACAGGCTGGGCTGAGGGACCTCCCCGAGTGCACAAATTTTTGTGCACCAGGCCTCTAGTATTATATAAAATATTTAGCACAGTTCTTGGCACATAACATTCAACAAATGGTTGCTGCTATTATTGAAAGCATTTAAGTCAAGTGTTCTGCCATCAGGTTCTGTGCTAAATATTTGTGGTAAATAAGATATGGACTGTCTTTGAGGAACTGTCTATTGGTCATCATTGCTTACCAATTGCCCATTCTACAGTATTGCTGGCTTTCAGATGAATTGTTGAAATATAGGGTGGTCAGTGTGGAGTGTCTAATTTGTATCATCCTCACCCCAGACTATTGGTTTGAAATAAGTGAAAGCTTCCCCTTATTTAAAAGTTAAAACAACAAAGATTGTTTTAAAATTCTCTTCAAGATGAAGATGGAACCAGCTTGAATTCAAGTATCCTGGCAGCACTCCGAAAAATGCAGGATGGCTATTTTGGTGGGGCAAGGTAAGTGACCTCTACATACTCTTTAGTGAAATGAAATGAAACTTGTAAGCTGGGTACAGTAATCGTAAACTTGTTATGCCTTTCTGTGTATCATTTTTTATAGCTGCATTTTTATATTAAATTTATTGGGGTGTCATTGGTTAATAAGATTATATAGGTTTCAAGTGTAAAATTCTGATACATCATCTGTATATTGCATTGTGTGCCCACCATCCAAAGCAAATCATCTTCTGTCACCATATATTTGACCGCCTTAACCGCCATACTGTGGTCTGTGTCTATATGTTTTTGTTTTATTTATTTTTCTTGTTTGTTCATTTTTTGCTTTTAGTTTTGTATCCCATATATAAGTGAAATCATATGGTTCTTAAATTCTCCTGTCTGATTTATTTCAGTTACCATGATAGTCTTTCTATGTATCTTTAATAAAAACCTCATCCTATTCAGAGAAGCTTGTGTTTGATAGCTTGAATGAAGGAATTGAATGTTATATAGAAGCATTGGAATTTTTCCTCACCATGACCTTTGCCTAGAACTTAACAATTCAATGAACAAGAAAACTTATTCTTTAAAATACGGTTATTGGACTATTCAATTCTGGATGCTTTTCTTTTCTTTTTCCCTAAGTTTTTATTTTTGAAAAATTTCAAGCTAACAGAAATCATATTGAAAATTTCTCTCTCCCCCTGCCCTTCCTTCTACTCCTCCATCCCTTTCTTCTTCCCTACCCTTCTCTCTCCCTCTCTCTCTCCCTCTCTCTCTCTCTCTCTCCCCCACCCCCTCTCTCACTCACACATACACAGACCTTTTTTTTGCTGAACTCTGTGAGAGTTAGCCAGAAACATCACAACTCTTCTTCCCTAAATACTTCAGTTTCTGTCTTCTAAGAACAAGGGTATTCTCATACATAACTGCAATATAATCATCACACTCAGAAAATTTATTACTGATACAATACTATTGTCTAATATAGAGCTCATATTCAAAATCCTCAATTTGTCCCAATAATGTTTTCCCATAGCTGTTTTTCCACTCCCGGATCTAATCAAAGATCACACATTGGCATTTAGTTATTTACTTCCTTGATGTGTTCTTTTTTATGAGAGAGAGAGAGAGAGAGAGAGAGAGAGAGAGAGAGATGTTGTTTCATTGCCTGATCCTTGTATGTGCCTTGACTGGGGATCAAACCCAAACCTTGGCATATGGGGACAATGCTGTAACCAACTGAGCTACCAACCAGGGTAGAGAGAGAGATGTTGTTTCATTGCCTGATCCTTGTATGTGCCTTGACTGGGGATCAAACCCAAACCTTGGCATATGGGGACAATGCTGTAACCAACTGAGCTACTCAACCAGGGTGATGTCTTTTAATGTACAATTCCCCAATCTTTTGTTAATCTTTCATTACAGTTTTGAAGACAGAAGGTCGGTTATTTTGCAGAATGCCTCTCAATTTGGTTAAAGTGGTATCTGTCAGGTTTTTCCACATCCTTTGTCCATCAGTCTTTCACCAAATGGTCTTACCTTCCAGTGATAATCATTTATTATTACTGGAGTGGTAAAATGATGATTCTGTTTCTATCATTCTGTGTACATTTACTATTTGGAGCCTTTCTCTTAAAAAATAACTTTCCCCTACCCTTTTATTTTGTAGTTTTAGTGTCAGCATAGATTTATGGATTTTTATTTGGTTTATTATATCATGCTCTATTCCAGTAATTATTTATTTCAGTGTTCAAATTATACAAGATCTGGCCATTAGGAGCCCCTTCAAACTAGCTTCTTTAGAAAATCAGTACTATTGACTTTCCCTTTGGGCTTTGCAATTGGCTTTATAAGTAGGGAAGGATATGATTTAGTCTATTATAATTTATAAAATTTTCAAATACCATCTTTTTATTTTCAAAATGGTCTTTATGAGTATTTTTTAATGATGTGTGATGGATTAGTGATAGTTTTTCTTCATTCTGTCCTAGCTTCTCTGGTAGCCAATGGAAATTTTGGCCAGATGTTTGGCATAGTTATCAACAGAGCAGCATAGCAGTGAAAGAAAGCCAAACTGATCTGGTGGATTGTGAACTCATAATTGTAGTTTTTGTTAACACAGTACCGTAACCTACAATGCACTGTACCTAGGAGTGCAGTAAAATTCTACTTTTATATAATTTATACTAATGTATAAACATTAGTAATACCCTAACATAACATTCTGGATATCCTTTTTCACTAAATTGTATTGTTTTAAAAAGCATTTTTCTCTGATTTTCTGTTTTCTATTTACCTTCTAATTGTCAGGGTTCAAACAGGTAAATTATCAGAGTTTTTGACAACATCTTGCTGTACGCATTTGAGTTTCATGGACCCTGGACCTGAAAGTAAGCTGTACAGTGAAGATTACAATGACTATAGTGAGCTAGAATCCTGTGACTGGATGAATAGCTATGATTCAACCAGTAATGGTAAGGAGGCTTCATAAAGGCACTGGCCTTGCTGGACAAGAATACAAACTATTGTTGTGTATCCTCCTTACTATACCTCACTGCCAGCAGTCTTACAGTCTTACAGCAGTCTCTATTTAATACACCTACTTTTTGTTTGGCTTTACTTTTCATCCTCCTACTTACCTTTGGTTTCTGGACTAATATCCCTGTTATGATTGTGGACTATGAAATTGGACTATTCTTTACTAAGATTAGGGAAGAGTTCTCTGCTGGGCATATAAAATGGCTAGAGATTTCAAAATGACAGGAAGCAGTGATGAGTGAGAGCTATTTAATCAAACTATACATGTACACTACTGCTTAGAGTGCTTTTTATATATAATAGTATATGGGCACTTTAGAATCTCAGAGGACTGCATAGTTTGCAAAAAAAAAACCTATTTGGTATTATGCATGTTGCTTTTTTATATTACAAACTAGACAAATAAAGCACAACAGCATCTAATTGGTTTTTAGGAATACTAAGATGTCAGTTAGAAAACATCATGGGGGCATATATTAAAAATGTCTAAAAAGAACCCTAAAGTGTTAAAATACTGACCTAGGCAGGGCAAGCATTACCATGCTTGAATCCCAAAGGCAAAGGGGCAATAGGAGAAAATTATTCTTCTAAATAAAACATGATTTGTCTGAGTATTTAAATGTTAGCCTATATATTAAAGCAGCTAATTTCTTTATCTTAAGAAATAAAGAGAAAAGAACATATAAATAAATTAGCATTCCTCAATGTGGTAGCAAAGCATAATCTCATATATAATAGACCAACACATTAGCAGACAGAAGGAATATTTTCTTGTTTGGGCTCAGCATTTGCTCACCTAAGTACCATTTAATTCATCCTGTACTTGTTTTTATAAGATCTAAAGTAGTATGAATTTCTTTGTTGGGAAAGTGCATTAAATATAAGGTTATTTCCTGTTACCAAAGGTAACAATAGTCATGATATCTAGCTTGGCATAAGCTGAACTATTTTGAAAACCAGACAAGAATGATTATATATATATTGAAGTCCTTTGCTATTCCATGGGCAATTGTGATTTTCATATGTAGCAAACATTCTCTTAGATTAATTTCTAAAATATATGTTTTTAATATGTGTTACTGAATTTGATATGCATTCTGAGTCACTTTTTCTTCTCTGAATTTACTCATTCATGGTTTCACAATGGATGTGTCTATAGCTTGCCAGCCCTTGTATGAGAAGAGCACTTCTCTCAAGATTCTTTTTTTTAAGTATAGTTGGTATACAATATTATATTAGTTACATTCGTTTCAAGTCCATATTTTTTATAATCCTCCACCGAAGAATCTAGATTATATTCAAGGTTATAATATTTGCCATTAGGATATCCCTGAGTATGAGTTCCCATTCTTGCAGCTTTGCTAGTTCCCATTAGTCACATCAGAGTACAGAAAGACATCTTAAGAGATCACCAAAGATTATTTAAAAACAAAACAAAACAGTTGATGCATAAATGACCTAGAACTGTGGTCGGCAAACTGCGGCTCGCGAGCCACCTGCTCTTTGGCCCTGGCTCTTTGTAAGCCTTAGGAGTACCCTAATTAAGTTAATACAATGTACCTACCTATATACTTTAAGTTTAAAAAATTTGGCTTCAAAAGAAATTTCAATTGTTGTACTGTTGATATTTGGCGCTGTTGACTGATGAGTTTGCCAACCACTGACCTAGGAGATTTCAGTATTGATCCAAACACTGTGCTTTTCCAATTATAAATGCTGTGAATGTTTATGTAAAGTCAGATGTTAAGCATCCACAGGGTATATGCATATTTTTATTTCCATTATCCATAGCCAAGATAATGTATGTGAAAGAGGGGGAGCCCAAGAGCATAGGGACTATATCTGTGTTCTTCACCACTGAGAACTCAGCATCTAGTATACCTAGTGGTACACAGTAGGCAATAAATATTTGGTGAATAAATGAATGAGGTGACTAAAAAGATAAATGTGTGGCTAGTAGTCCTTTCAACACCAATGCCACACAGAGATTTTATTGTCGTTAGCAGTTGTAGCTTGCCATTTGTGGAATCTGTCTGTTTTTAGCTAGGCTCAATGCTTACTGGAAGATTTTTGCCCTTCCCCACAAAAGCCTCATCATACCAGTGAGACTCAAAGGACCTTATTCTGCTCCTTCTCCACCATCACTATCACCACCACTATCATTATATGCTTGCATATGAAATGCTTGCACCATCTCTCCTATATTAACATCATACTGCTTCCAGGGGCCCTAATATTGTCTCAGAAAAGTTGAAGAACAGGTGGGTCCTGGTAAATGACCATAGTTTTTTAAATGGTAAAGCTATGAGTTTATATAATGATAACACACTTTTTACTCCATGAGCTAAAACAACCTACTTCTGGTGGTGCTATGTTGTGGTCACATGATTCAGTCATTCTGTTTGGTGGGTTAAATTGTGATGTAAATAAAAGGTTCACTTTTTTCTTTTCACCCTCTCCCCACTAACCTTGCAGCTCACTGTGGTGATGACGTTGCTCGTTATTTAGATCACCTTTTGGCGCACACTGCTCCCCATCCTAAACTAGACCCTACCTCACAAAAGGGAGGGCTAGATCGGTTCCGAGCTGCTGTACAAACAACCTGTGATATAATGTCCTTGGTGACCAAGGCCACGGAGCTGCATGTACAAAGTGAGTAATGCCAGGACTCACTGGAGTCAGGTACAGGATGATGTGAAGCCCAGTATATGGGAGGGAGCATTTATTACAGTGTAAGCAGGAACTTTGTTTTGTTTTTTGTTTTTTACATGGTTTTTATTGATTTCAGAGAGAGAAAAGGAGAGGGAGAGAGAGCTGGAAACAGCAATGATGAGAATCATTGATTGGCTGACTCCTGCACACCCCCTACTGGGGATGGAGCTTCCAACCCGGGCATGTACCCTGACCAGGAATCGAACTGTGACCTCTTGGTTCATAGGTCGATGCTCAACCACGAGCCACGCTGGCTGAGCAGGAACTTTGTTTTTTGTTCACTGCTTCATCCCAAGCACCTTTGATAGTACTGAGACGCTCAAATATTTGTAAAATTAATGAATTAGGTATAATTTTGCTGTATATAGTGCTATGTAGTCTGGCTTAACCAGTTACATAGTGAGAAGAGACAAAATAAGAGACTTGGGGCATAGTTAATTGTAAGATAAAAATATCAAAATGGTGGAAAGTATTTTTTCTGTTGGTAATAATTGTATTTAAAGAGAAAGCATTGCAAGCTATTACAAGAGTGCCTTGCAATGGAAAAGGAGATATTCTCCCTTAAGTAAACTACATCTGGTTCCCTTTGGCCAGCTGTCACTTTTATAGTCAGTTGGTCCAGCAGTGTAGAGCTGTTTATCAACTATAGCACTCATTCTTCAACAACTTTGCCATTCACCTCTCCATGACCACTACCCTCCTTCAGTAGTATTTGTAGTGGAAAATGTCTTTTAGACACATTGCCAGAATAGTAGTCATGGTACCCAAGAGTGTTCAATGCCTCTGTAGTAGCTTCATGTGAAGGGACAGAAGGGATAGATTATCGGCCACACCTGAAGGACTTAATGTTAACATTTACAGGTGATGAGAATGATTGAGATGCATGCTCTTGCTGTCTAAAACTTTATTGATCATTACTAACCAAATATATTAAAACATGAACATTGGAGAATCATTTAACATTTAGAATAGGGGAAAGCTTAGAATTCCCTTCAAGTAAGCTTCATTGACAAAGGGCTTATGTGAAGAAATAAACTTGATTAAGTTAGACTTTTAGATTATGAATCACAAAACTTGAGCTTAATTTCTAGCTCTACTACTTGCTTGCTTGAACAGTTATTTGAGCTCTGTATCTCTATTTCTGTATCTGTAAATGCTGAAAATGACAAGAGAGCCTCTCCTTAGAGTCTCTCCTCATGTAGAAATACATGGTAAGTATTTCAACAATGGATTGTAAGTAAAACTCTTAAGAATATCTCAAAGTTGATCAGCCACTACATATTTTGATTCCCTAGATAGGATCATCCATTTATCTATTCTCAAGGAAATCCCATTGTGAGCAGCCAGATATTCTCCTAGGGAAGTCCAGGAAATGTAAAACATAACTGGGTTCTTTCTGTGATACATGGTATTCTCCCAAAGCATCAGTGATAGTACCATTGTGGTATTGGTTACATTTTAAGACTTTAATATCAGCTGATGATACAATTCTGGACATTCCATTCAAAAATGTTTCTTGATTGGTTGAACATTCTTTGCATTATTTGATTTCTATATTTCTTTTCTTTGATGTTACCCAGAAGGATAAACTTCTATAAAGAACCAAACATATGTAACTTCATTGTTGAGATCAACTGTGAATTTTTGTTAGTCTCCTAATTATCTAACCTTTATCATAAATGTCAACCTTTTGCAGATGTTCACATGTATCTTCCTGCAAAGGTAGTTCAGGCTTCCCGGCCTTTATTCAACTTACTTGACTCACCTCCTCCCCCACAAGAGGACCAGGTAAACTTGCACATGAGGTTTTTCTATCAGTTTTTTGCAAAATGCTATCCTAATGGAAAATAAGAGAACTAGCCATTATGGTTTCTGCTACTAACTGGTGGTAGGCAAAATCCTACCCTGGTGAAGATACATGAACTTTTCAGTTCACTTTTAAAATGGGCAAGTTTTTCTAGCCGGGCTTTATGAAATCTAGATTGCTTTATCATATGTGTTGAAAGTTTCATTTTTTTGTTTACTTTTCATCAAAATTTAACAAATTCTTATGGGAAAAGTTTAGAGATGAAAAGATCAACACTATAGGGCAGTGATGGCGAACCTGTGACACGCGTGTCAGAGGTGACACGCGAACTCATTTTTTTGGTTGATTTTTCTTTGTTAAATGGCATTTAAATATATAAAATCAATATCAAAATATACATCTTTGTTTTACTATGGTTTCAAATATCAAAAAATTTCTATATGTGATACGGCACCAGAGTTAAGTTAGGGTTTTTCAAAATGCTGACACGCCGAGCTCAAAAGGTTCGCTATCACTGCTCTAGGGCAATATTTAAGTTGAGCACTTGTGGACTTAATTTTTTTACCCTTTCTCAAACTAAAGGTTCCCTCAGTTCGTGTAGAAATACATCTTCCAAGAGACCAGTCTGGGGAGGTGGACTTCAAAGCACTGGTTTTACAGTTAAAGGAGACCTCCAGCTTCCAGGGGCAAGCTGATATCCTCTACATGCTATATACTATGAAGTAAGTGATGGATATTATCAATCTACTTTAATGTTCATATGGAGAGAAAGAATAGTATAGTAAATATAGCATAGCTTTGGAGTCTCACTGATCTAGATTTGAATACAGTTTTGGAACCTCAAAGCCTCAATTGTCCTCATTTATAAAAGTTGGATTATGCCTACCTCACAGGTGGTAGAAACATTTCTGCCTGAGAGGCAGGTGCAAACAATGGCTAAACCCAGTGACAGGGATGGAGATTCAGAATTGTGGCTGCTGAGGTCTGGTAGCCACCATTACTGGGATAGAACAAGGCCAAAAATGTACAAACAGGCCTGTCCCTGCCTATTAAACCCCCATCCATCCCAGCAGAGCCTAATGAAAGCAACTGGGACACCTTGGGTAGTACAGCACTTCTGGCAGCATCTAATTGCAAGAGGCAGCACTGGACCAGAGCCCCATCACCTGCCACATTTCCCCACAAGGGTGCTGCCCTGATACTGAGGGGACACCCCATCCCAGGGAATATGGGGGCATTTTCCTTAGCCAAGGCAACAGGCCCCACACAAATAACAGAAGCCTTAGCAGGGCAATAAGAAAAAATGAAAAATTGCACTTCACCTACTGGAAAACAATCGAACAAACAAAAAACTCTCCTTCTCACCTGCTAAATAGTGAAGTGTCAGGTACTTCATAAAAAGCAGATTTCATACCATATGACCCAGCCACCCCTCTTCTAGGTATCTACCCAAAACTGAACATATATGAATATATAT